GACACTGGGAAGAGGTAACTATGCGGAGGAAGTTGGAGGAGAGCTGTTGCATTGTGGTAAACTGTGGTCAATGACATGAGACAGTATATGTGAACTGCTGTATGGAAAGTGAATTTGCTCTGTAAATCTTCACCCAAATAAAAAAACAACAACAACAACCAAAAAAACATCTGAAACTTGAACTGATTCATGAGTTGCTAGTTTGGGTTGGGTCATGCTGCCCTCTGATGACTCAGTTCCTAATTAAAAATATCTGGGTTTGTGGACGAGGAGATGGTGATGTGGGAACCTGTCCCAGTGATGGCAGTTTCCTTTACAGAATTCTGCTATTTAGAAGAGGTGATAATCCTGTTAACAGAGTAAGACAGAAGATTAAATGAAGAAGGATGAGGTGGAAATTCTGAGGGAAGTTGGTCAGAATTTTCTAAGACGATTAGGCTATTAGGCCAGTGGTTACCAAACTTGTCTGCACATTTGAACCACCTGGGAACTTCATGGATGCTGAGATTCATGTTCCCAGACACTGTGATTTATTTGGGGTGAGGCTTGAGCTTTAGAATTTTTAAAAGGGTTAGAGAGAAGTTGGGAACTATTCTAGGGTGAACAAGTTTTAAAACTAAATCAGTATGACAACTCTAAAACACTAGGCAATAGGGTAAGCCCAGCAGGGTCAGGGATTCTTGAAAAATCAAAGACAAACTGTCTACCTCTGGTTGGTTAAGACCCATCTGAGAAAGGTTCCCTCAGACACTGCGGGACTCACTGATACTCAGAGAGCACTGGGGTTGAAGGGAGCTGAGATCATCTAGTCCAGGACTGCAAACGGGCAAACCCTGGATCATTTATGGCTCCCAGATGAGTTGTGTGGCCTGCATAGTATTTTTAAACATGTGAAATTAGTTGCCAACACTTAAACTGAGCAGTTTCACATAAACATCTACATGTTTGCTTTCTTTAAAAACCAGAAGCTCTGGCAACCCTGGGCCTCCAGAGCAGCAACAGGCCAGTGCTCACAGTGGCTTGGCCTCCGAGCCAGGGCACCTGCTCTCCAGTTCACCACCGTCCCCACCAGCTTGACCCCAGGGGACAGCTGATCTGGTCCCACCTACTTCCGCCTTCCACAGAACTAAAAACTACTTTCCTGCAATGTCACCCATTGCTGCCAGCTCCACAGCACAAAGAAAGCTCATTCTCTCTGCATGAAGCCTTCAACTTCTCGAAGGCAGGAATCTTGTTCTCTCCTTAGATGTTTCCTTCTCCAGCTAAATATCCCTAGTTCCTTTAACTGTTCCCTCTGGGACATGGGTTCTGGACTCCTCACCAGCCTGGTCTCACTCACTTTATATTCAATGTCTTCCCTTAAATTTGGTCCAGAGTGAAATGCAACACTTGAGAGGTATTCTATGTAAGTTGTGATCTAGCTGTGACACGTCTACTGATAAAATGTGAAACAACACTAACTTTTACCAGTATCATCACTTCGTTGGTTCATGCTGTGCCTGTGACCAACTGAAATCGCCAAGTCTTTATTATGAAATGCTATAAAGCCAGGATTCTCCACCTCAAACTTATACAACCTATTCAATTTAACTGAGATCATCATAATCTGTTTAATGTAGTCTTGATGTGTCCTTGGGGACTGTCATCCATCATGGCAGCAATGTTGGTTTGCTCCATCCTCAAATTTGATGTTTCTTATGCCTTCATCTAAGTCACTGATTTAAGAAAAATGCTGAACAATACAGATCCCTGTGAAATATCAACAGAGATCAAAAGCACACCAATTTATTAATCAACACTTTACTTAAACATCCGTATAGACTTCTATGTACAGGCAGTACCCAACTTAAGATGGGATTCCATTCCAACAACTCTACTGTAAGTTGGTTCTGACATAAGTTGAACACCTCATTATTATTATTTTCACTGTTCCTGCCCTTTATTATCAGCATAACTTTATAAATAAGATCTTTATTTGTCTTTGGGCATTGACCTAAGAATAACATGAGCAAATTACATGCTGCAACACTAGGTGGTATATCTTACTAAAATGTACAAAACAAAATGGACAGTCGTAAGTGCAGTTTGTCATTAACTTGAATGCACCATAAGTTGGAAATACCTGTCCTACCATCAAGGCCTATTTCCTTCTCTGTCTTTCAGGAACCCATTTATCCTATTCCATTCTTCTCGCCTAGCAATAGCCTCCTTTTCCGAGTTCTTATGAACCACTGTGCCTTATATAGACATTAATTTGTCAAAATCTATCCTTTCTTCATTTTTGAAATTAAGGGTACTAGATGATACTAGCTATTTCTTGCTGAAGGTTATCGGGCTACTTCAGAGTGTGCCATTCCTTCCCTTTGAATCTTTCCCTGATGGAAGTGAAGACCATAAGGAATTTCCTTAAGCTGAATTCAGGACTCAGGAGACCGAGGAGACAGAGATCATGCATGCAGAATCAAGAGCCCGCCAACATTTAAGTAACCTGAGACACAGTCTATTAAGAAGCAGAAAATAATAGACATTTCTTTCTCTACATTATACCTAATTTTCAATGTGAAAATAGATTTAAAAAGGAACCTTTAGTGTCAACCATACATAATGACATTCTTAAACCAGTGACTTTGTCTCAAAAGCAAGAAAGAACTTCTCAACCAAACAACCGATAGGCCTATAAGCTGAAAACCTACCCCAGGTAGATGCAATCCTTAAAACGGTCAACCATGAGAGATTGATTGGAAAGGCTGCATGTACATAGGTAAAGCTAGACAGACAGAAATGCATAGGTAAGAAGGAAACAGGCAGGGAAGGGCTAACCACAGGTAGAAGGTGGGAGGAGAGCTGCTATACTGTGAGGATTGTAATTGGTGCCATCACACAAAACGTTTAAGAACCATTGCCTATCAAATGAATCTGCTTCATAATTTCACACTGAAATCACAGTAAAAAAAAAAAAAAAAAGCAAGCAAAAAGTTTTAAATAACTTGGAAGGTCCTTGGTATGCCAAGGTCATCCTCTTACAAAAGCCCAAGTTCCTGTGCTCTCTGATGAGCTCTCCAAGACAGTTTCAGTCCTAGGAAGTTGGTTCCCTGAGAATCATTTTGGGACTCGTCGGAGTTCATTCATGAGCCAAAGAGCAGCACTAAGCAGAGCCAAGGATCCCGACTGATGAGTAGCAGCCAAAGGGGTTGGAACATACATCAGTAGAGTACAAATGCCCAAACCCACCTGTTATAAAGGAAGGAAAGCAGTAAGAAAAGGGGTAACCACAAATTTAGAACCGAGAATGTCTGGGTGGGGAATGCCAATACACAAACCTCCACATGTTCCAACCAAATCACTCAAAAATATGTATTTTTCATTTCAGGTAAATATACTTACAATAAAGTAAATTAAAACAGATAAACCTAAAGCTCCCTAATTATCCTTTATCTTCTCCCAGTTTCCCTCCTGAAAGGCAGCCACTGTTACTTGCATTTTTGTATAAATGTTTATAGAGGAAACACGGTGCTGTGTTTTTAAAACAATCTGCTGTTCTGCAACTTGCTTCTTTACACTTAATAAGAACACCTGAGATCTCACTACTTTAAAGTGCTGCATAGTATTCTACAATATGCACATACTAGAGATGTTTACTTAACCATGTAGGTAGTTTCTAAGTTTTCACTATTACAACAATGCTACAAAAGAATTTCCTTATACAAGGCTCTTTGTGCATCAGAATAGCTCTAGGGCAGAAGACACTAATAAGTCATTTTGCTGCATCAAAGGATTATACATTTAGCATTTGAAAAGATACTGCCAAACTGCCTTCTGAAAAAAGATATACCAACTTAAGCTCTCACCAAGAATATATGAAGGTATCCATTTTCCTATATCCCTTTCAATATCTGATCATCATTCTATTTCATTTTTTTTCAGGCTGACAGGCACAAAATGGTATTCCTTGTTTTGATTGCTCTTGACTGATCATAAGTGAGGTAAACAGCTTTTCATGTTTACTGGCCACTTATCATTCCTCTTCTAAGAGTTGTGTGTTGATATCCTTTACTTACTTAGTGCCCATGAATCTTTCAGTCTGTTATAAATGGAAAATATTTTCTAATCTGTCACCTTTGTTTCTTAAACTTTATTTTAGGAATATCCTCAGACAAAAAAGAAGTGGTTACCTGTGTATATGCCAAAGCCAGCAGAGTCACTGCTGCCATTCTGGTCCTCCGAGGAAGGGGAATTCTCCGGGAAAGGAAGTAAAGCACTGTGATGGCAGTGAGGGAAGTGATCCCCTGCGGGGAGGAAAGACGCTCTTGTCACAAGTACCAATAAGAAAATTCCCGCCTTCCTGGTGGTCACCTACCTTTGTGTGCATTTTCTCCAGGACCACTGAGCTACTGCTAAGCACTTAGCTGTACCAGTCACAATGACCCACCTGAGTTCCACCTCCAATTCCTCCTCTCTAGTCTCCTCCACGGTCACCTTCTGCTTCCCACTTAAATGGTGGTGTTCCCCAGGGTCACGCACCTGAACTTCCGGCACGTTACCACTTTACACACGTTCACTCACTCTCAGTGATCTCATCCACTTTCAAATTTGGGGGTCTTCCAGCCATGGCCCTCACTTTTTAAATCACTCTTCACATCCTCATCCCTAATTTTATCTTTTGTCTAATCCTTTTTTTTTTTCGTTTTTTTAAGGCAAGGCCGACTCTAGGACACAGCACATGTTACTATTTTCCTCAGGTGCAAGTGGAGGAGGTGTTAGTTTTACCAGGTGGTGCTACAAAAGATCTAAAGTCTCATTTTCATTCCACTCCTCCAGAACAAGGGCCTGGGACTGGTGACAAAGCTCCCTTTCCGCTTCCACGTCAGGAAGAATATTTTCTATTCTATTTTTCCATCTATTTCACTTCTCCTTTTCAGAGCTGCCCATGATGACAATTTCAGCTGGACTTTACTTATTCCAAAATAGTGCATGGAGGAGGGGACTGAAACCACACAAGGTAACCTGCCCAAGCCCCACCGCTCCCTTCAGAGACCCGAGTCCTCTGGACCTCTCTCTGTGGATGTACTCTCATCACCACACACTCAACATGCCTCAATGTGGTGAGCTCCTTCTATCTCTAGCTCAACGCTCATTCCAATAGTACCATTTCTTCTTCTTCTTCTTTTTTTTTTTAAACTTTTCAATTGAGGCTTAACTTACATACAGCAAATACAAGATTTAAGTGAGCAGCTTCATACATTTTTACATATGAATTCTCCAAATACCACCACCCAGATCATGTTGGCCATGTTTACGGCATACCACAGAAGGAACTCTGTCGACCTTTCTCCACTTTTATTCCTAACAGTCAATCTTATTAACCCTCTAACCCTCGAAAACCTCTCTCAGTCTCATCACTCTTCTCAAGTCCCTTTGCCACCAGGCATCCTCAGTCCCCATCACTTGTGCCTGCACGCAGCCTGCATGCCCACTGGTGCTTCTCACTGGTCTCCTTGCTGCTGACCTTTCCCTGCTCCAACCTATCACACGCAATCAATTCAGTCTCTCCCTGCCAACCAATCTGAACAGGAACCTAACAGGCCCTTAATACATACTACCTTAGAAGAAATGAAAAGTATGTGTGAGGCTCCTGGCTCCCTGGTGTTGTGGTTCAGCTATGTGCTTGGCAACCTGTCTTTGCACTCTCTCTGTTCCTAATTTCTGCTGAAAAGACTCTCCTGAGTGTATAAAAGATTGAGGGAGGTTATCACTTGCCAGGGTGGGAGAAGGCATATTAGAACTTAGGAAGCTGATGGTATCCTGAAAGCCAGATTTCGGCTGGAGGGGATGTGGGTGATTAGGACAAAAACATCAGGTCCAAAACTGTTACGAGGATTTCTTCCAAAAGTAAAAGGTAATGTAGTTCCCATTCTACCCTTTCTCTGCTGCCAGCAGTACTTCACTGAACAAAAATGAAAAAATGAACAAAGCCTGTGAAAGCTGCCCACCCGACCCCACCCCACGCACGGCCAGGGAAGCACCAGCCGGACTTACCAGAATACGGTGATTGAACTGCACCATCGTGGGATTCTCAAAAACATTCCTCAGGATGGGGGAAAAGGTCAAGAGATCCTCTGGGATCCAGGATTCTCCCATCTTGGGAAAGGAGTTATAAACAAGGCCAGCATCCAGCCCTGCCACAAAAGCCCCTGTATCCCAAGGTAAATGGTATTTATTAAAATAAGAGGAAGAAAAACAAAACACTAGTTTTGACACAGAAAAAGCCTATTATCCCAGAGTTAGGCAGAAGGAATAGTCAGAGAATAACAGATCTATGGTACAAGTTCCCAAATAGGGACAATAAAATGCAACCACCATGGGATCTTAAAACAAACAAACAATCTTTCCATCCACATTTGTTCCACCCTAAGGTTCTGGGGTTACCTCCTCTGGAGGAGTGGACTAGTTCTGCAAGGAGTGGCCGATCACTCTGGAGAACTGCCCTAGTGTTTCTGATGCCTCCCTTGTCCCACCTCCCCACTGAGAGCTACAGATGTATTCCAGAAACCCTCCTCCCCAAATAGTCTGCATGATTTACCCCCTCACTTCCTTAGTCTCCGTTCAAATGTCACCTTTTCAAACAGATCATCCCTAATGATCCCACATAAAATGGCACTCCCAGCCCCTGCTGATGGAAGTGTTCTCTATCTGTGCCCAATACCTGTGCCACTGACCACACGCAGCTACAGAACACGGCAATGTGGCTAGTGTGACTGAGGAACTAAATTAATTTTATTTAATTTTAATTAATTTAAGTAGCCACAAGAAGCTAGTGATTACTGTATTAGCACAGCTCTAGAGTAAGAGAGGTCAAGGTTGAAGTATGGTTTAATGAATGAGAAAGACCTATTTTGGTCTTTCTGCCCTGCTGAATTCCCCCACCTTAGACAACCTTTGAGAGCAGGACTTTTGTCTGACACATCCTGGTGTCATGTAATAACAGTAATGTTTACATCGTAGTAACAACCGCTAACACTAATGCCAGGCACTGTTCTAAGTACTTCACATACATGGTTCATACTATTATTATCATCTCCGTGTTACAGATGAGGTCATCAAGGCCCAGAGAAATCCCATAAGTCATATAGTTCCTAGGTAGTGAAGCCAGGATTTGAATCAAGAGTCTGGATCCAGGCAGATGCTCAATATTTTTGTTCATTAACTGGAAAGTAGGATTTTTAGATGGGAAGAAGGAATGGAGAACAGAGAGTGAAGATGGTGGTATGAGAAGCAGGTATGAAATGAAGATGCAGGATGCAGGGGCAGAGCACCAGGCAAGAGGCTCGGGAACGAGAAACAGGCTGGGCTCGCTTATTAAGTATATTATAGAGGACGGTCCTACCTGAGAGTGCCGTCAGGAGCACCAAGCCTGCCGTTCCATGAGCAAATCGTCTCAACCGCAGGAGCTGATGAGTCTCAGGTAACTAAATAAGAAAGAAAATCACTCAGATAAACCGTACTGCAGGAACTACGGGAGCAGTAAAGATTTTCCTTTAGTCAGCAGACAGAAAAAATACTCTAGACAAGATCAGTAAGCTTCACTATAATTAGAACCACCAGGGAAATCTTGAAGGGGGGAGGAAATGCCCAAAACGATTTCCTGAAGAGCATATATTCTATGTACCTCAATGTGTTTAGTGGTCCCCATGTAAAGACAAACAGTTCCACACGGCTCTTGCATAGCTCCTTGCTCCCCCATCTACCCCCCCTTTGGTGAGTCAGAATTAAAGTGGATCTACCCCCCCCTTTGGTGAGTCAGAATTAAAGTGGATCTACCCCCTCTTTTGTGAGTCAGAATTAGAGTGGATCTACCCCCCCTTTTGTGAGTCAGAATTAAAGTGGTTGGGATGTCTCTTGTTGCTGGGACTCCTTCCCACTTTCTTCTTAACACTTGTGTTTTCATCTTCCCCGAGAGACAATGCTGAGAAAACATTTAGCTTCTACACTCATTCTCAAAGAAGAATGATATTGTGGTTAAGGCATTTAGCTGCTAACCAAAAGTTCATTGGTTCAAACTCACCATCCATTCTGCCAAAGAAAGATTTACAGATTTGGAAACTCAATAGCCATCTCTATGAGTTGGAATAAACTCGATGGCAGTGAGTTTGGCTTTTTCAGCTAATACTCATTCTCAAAGAGTCCTGGTGGCATAGTAGTTAAAGCCCTTGGCTGCTAGTGGTTTGAACCTACCAGCCGCTTCATGGGAGAAAGATGTGGCAGTCTGCTTCCATAAAGATTACAGCCTTGGAAATCCTATGAGGCAGTTCTATTCTGTCCTATAGGGTCACTATGAGTCAGAATCCACTAGACAACAGACGGTTTGGTTTTTTATACTAACTCTCCTTGGAATGAGTTGACCCAGCTCAAAAGAATAACTGCACATTTTTCTTTGCAGTCTCAAACTTATGTAGAGTTCCAAAGTTCAATATTTCCCTAAGTGTTGGTTATGTCTACTTTCTGTACATTAACAGATGTGACTTACAATGTTACTTAAGGGGATCCCTGCGTTTTGACTTGTATCTTCCCATTAAACAAGAATTTCCAGTTCCTTGATGCCATCAGCATCTCTGCAGCTATGGCAGTACTAAACAGACTGACTTTTACCTTGTGAGGAGGGAGCAGCAGTGAGAGTGAGGTCCACAAGCTGGCGCAGTAAAGAACAAGGGCTGATCCCAGGTGTGCTGCGAGGCGGTACTGACTGACTCGAGGGATGTCCGGGGAGTCTGGTTTTTCTTCCAATCCACTTTTCACCATATACCACCCCAACAGACCCTAGAATCAAAGAGAGAAGAGGCAAATAAAACTAGGTTGAGACTGTCTGCTCAGTTTTCTGCTCTGCGGAGGTGAGTTATCAGTAGTATGCCCTCCTCAACCCTCCTTTCCACACGCTCCTGTACTCCCAGTAGCCTCATCCATGTTTCCACATACAGGACCATGAACACTTCATCACTTAGACAACTTTTTACTGAAGTGTAACCCAGCCACTCCTCGGAAAAAGATGGGGCAATCTACTCTCATAGTGATACTGTCTTGGAAACCCAAGGAGGGGTCGCTAGAGTCGGGTCCGACTCGATGGCACATAACAACAACAACAACAAACCCATATGGAAAAGTGCACAAAATATATACTCTTCATGAAATCTTTCTGGGCATTTCTTGCCCCCCTTCAAGACGATCCTGGATGTTCTAATCACCCTGAAAGATGAAGGGGTACAGGGGTGATTCCTCAGCCCCAGCTTTCTTCCTCTTGGAGCCCTATCTGCCATTTTCAATTTATGCCTCTTGGGGAGTCTGTCTTTAGTGTTTTGTCTTGTCTTTTACTTTATTCTAAAATAAACCTCCATTTTGTTCTGCCTACCCGTCCCCCAGTCACTATTAACCAGTTACCACTGACTGGTTTCCAATCCAGTGACCCCATGCGTTTCTGAGTAGGATGCACCCCACAGGGTTTTCAGGGCTGTGCTTCTGGAAGCAGGTCACCAGGCCTTTCTTCCGAGGTGCCTTGGGTGGGTTCAAACCCCAAACCTTTTCTTCCGTGGCTGAACACTTAACCAATTTGCCAGCTAGGGACTCCTCTACTTACTATTAGGCTTTTATTAATGTCTAAACTTTTGTTATCTGTTTCTATTGCTTCCATTTCTTTCCTCCCATCTCCCTCCTTAATCCCTTCTAATTGGCTTGCATCCTCTGAGTTAAATTAACCTTTTAGCTTCCTCCTGACCAAATTCTGATGTTCTTTCTCTGATGTCTAATACTCTGCACTCTGGCTCCAGAACTTCTACACCTTGACCCAAATACTTCTATGTCTTCTCTCAGATACCTTTCCTTGGCTCTTGGTCTTAACTAACCTATTTTAACTGACAGTCTTTCAAAGCTCTTTTCCTTAAGAAGATCTCAAGTTACATGATTTCAATCATCATTTATAACTGAACGTGTCTGAACTACCTCTGTGTTCTAAGTTCCTCCACCCCACAAATGTTTCCCTCTTTTGATATTTTCCTATTTGCTTCTGTAGCCATTCTAGCATAGGGACCCACTTTCCTATACAGCAGATAAATCAGAAAAAGGGAGGAGTGCCCAGCAGGAAAGCAGGATGGGAAAGGTAATTTAATTCTTGTGGCACATGAAAATATATTTACTGAGCACTGAGTAGATTCTAGGTACTAAACTAAGTGCTTTACACGCATTATCTCATTCAATATTCACACACTCGAAATAGTAGGCATTATTATTACCCTATTTATAGGTAAGGGAGTTACAGCATATAGACAATAACTAACTTGCCCCCTTAAGTGGCAGAGCTAGCATTGAAGCCAGGTCTGTGACAATGAAATCCATTTCTTCCCACTCTGATAGCTGCCTCATACACTAGTTGCTTAAAAACAAGGCCAACTACAAGCCCCACACAGTATCTCTGGGTTCCCAGCCTTGAGTAATTCTCACCTGGAAGCAGACTAAGCCACAGAGAGCAAGAACACGCCCTTTCATACCACGGCTGAGCCAGCCCTTTCTCCAAAAGTAGGCAGCAGGCAGGATGTATGCAAGGCCCACAAGGCGCCCCCACATTCGGTGTGAGTACTCCATGTACCAAATGAACTTGAATTCTGCCAAGGTCATGTCATGATTCAAGCTGGGTAAAAAGGGGAGTCAAAAAAGAAGAAAATGAAAACATCTACATAATTTTCACTTCCCTCTGGGATGCAAGAACATTCTTGTTCATGCATTTGGTAGGTTTGCTCTGTTCCTCATCAGTGACCTCAGCATCACTATGAATTGGAGTTCAGAGTGGGGAGCTCACTAAACATAACTAAATGTCAAGAGTTGTTCTGGTCACCTCTGTGCAGCTCTGACAGGAATATATACCACAAATGGGATGGCTTGAACAAACAGGAGATTATTCTCTTACAGTTTGGAGGCTTTAAGTCCAAGTTCTAAGTGCCAGGCTCTAGGGGCTGGGTGAAAGCCCCTCAACCTTGGGGCTTCAGCTCTGCCTCCTGCTACATGCAGGGTTCAAGTGTGCCATAAGCTAGAGACCACTCCCCAAGGCTTCTCCTTATATACAGGAAGCAGACCACATTCCTAAGGCAGCTACTCAGCTGCTCACAGTAAATTCCACCATGGAATTGATTACCAGTCTCATCACAGGGAATACTACATCCAGCTGCCCAACTACTCAACCAGGCCCAGCCAAGCTGATACACAAACTTAACTACCACACTAAACATAACCAAACTAAATGTCAAGGGTTAAAGGAATCTAACCATTCTGGAGTCTTTAAACTACAAAAGACTAAGTGCATCTGATGGGATGTTGACTTGATGGAAAAGAGTCAAGTAATACTGTACTTACATTTTAAATTCTGGAAATTGTTGGTATTTTTGGAATTCTGCTTCCCATTCCTCTTGGCTTGTAGGAGGCTTCATCTCCTTTATTAAATGCCAATCTACCATTGAGAGGCCAGACTCTGTCAATCTTAGGAGAGGAGAGAAATTTTGGAGAATGTGCATATGATGCTGGTTACTTGTAAGTGGTTCACACTGATGAGTGGATCTGGACTTAACTCTGCCCAAGGTAAATACATCATTTCACTGTTTCCTCTTTCACACTTTTCTCTCCTCTTACAGCTTAAACTTTTGTCAAAAACAGCTGCCATCAGGTCAAAATTTCTTACCCTCTTATTCTCTCAATCCTTTCATTACTCTCTCCCCACTTCTTTCTCCCACTAACATTCCCTGACAGGCATAACCAACCTTCAGACTAAAGTAATGTTCCCTAAACGTACAAACATTCTTCACACAAGGAGAAGAGATTTGTAACAGACACAAAAGAAGTTGAGGCTTTTGAGTAAATCTAATGATAAGACTCAAATTTGTGAATTCCCCTTAACAGCCTAAAAAACATATAAAAAGGTATTGTGAAAGAATTCCAAAGAAATAAGGGGTCATGACCAAGTGGGGTTCATATCAGGTATGCAGGGATTATTCAACATTAGAAAAACAATCAACGTCATCCACCACGTTAATAAAACAAAGGAGAAGAACCACATGATCATATCAATTGATGCAGAAAAGGCACTGGATAAAATCCAACACCCATTCCTGATCAAAACTCTCAGCAAAATAGGAATAGAAGGGACATT